ATTATAGACAGCACCAAATGTGTACAGTACTTCTTAAATTGTGGGCCTCGATTATTCAAGGCTGAAATCATTAGACAGTGTGAAGAATGACATCCTAGAAACTCATTTGTTCCTCTCATTTATTGCCACATCTAACTGCCTTGAGTTTCTGAAAGGTTTTGCTTATAATCATTTTCAATGATTAATTGAAGAACAGGTTTACTGTGAACTATCATTTTATTTCCAGCAGCAAGCTCTGACACAGCAGCGTTTTATCAGTCCCATACTACCGGCTGTGGTTAAGATGTGTCATTTCAAATCTCATGAACATTTGTTTAATCTCATACATTAAATCTTCCTTAAATTACACAAGTTAAATATAAAAATATATGCAGTCCAAGTATGCAGATCAAGAATGATGTACCATTCATCTCACAGTGGTGCAAAATTTAGTTTTTTGACAATGTTTGCCTTCCAGTGCACTATAGGTGTTCAGTCATGCTGTCATTTCCAAATTAGTTTTCAAAAATAAGCCATAAAATTTAAAATTCAGTTATTTTTATTTCCTTTAATATCCCTGTGTGCAATTCAGATAGCAGATGGGGTGCTTTGTTCGTTATTACTTTAAAAATAAACCAGTTCAATCTTAATAAATAATTTCTTCTCAATGTGAAAAATATAAGATCAAGATGAAAATAGTGAATTAAAAGCATTTCATTTAACATGAAGCACCTGATAAAAAGTGGCTTAATATCTTTTGTAGAAAATATTATAAACAACTTTCTGTAGCATGACATTTATTATCAGTTTCTGTAAGATGATTGAAATATAAGCATTTACCTGATTCAAATTGGTGTTTTTAACAAAAGAAATGTAAGACAATGTAAAGAAAATAATGTAGAAGTGTTCAGTTTAAGGGGGATCTTGAGAAAGTCATTAAAGAGTTTTATCATGTAAACTTTTTAAGTTATGGGGGAAGGGTAAAAACAGGAAATAACTGAAAATAAACAGAGAGATAATGGAAAAGCAATTAATCCATTGGGGTAAAACAATATGGGACCTAGTGAGAACTAGAAGACTCTTTTCAGAAAGCTCCATGTTTAATCAGTTGAGAAGTAGAGCTGTTCGGGAGTATGACAAGGTGCAGGTTATGGTTACAGAGCAGGACTAGGGAGTGGAGGTGAAAATCATTGGCTTGGAGGAATCAGGGGAATGGTATGTGGTCTCTCTGGTGCTAAGTCCACATATATGCTGATACCTCAAAAATTACTGCTGTAACAAAGATGGAAAGCATGAATTGGTACCAGAAGAATGTAGAGCGTATAAACTTGGAATGCATGAGCTCCAAAGGATCTGTTTGTCTAAAAACGAAAATGTCATGTTTGAGAAGGATTAATTTTGAGCAAGAAAAATGGTGTTTAACTACCTTCCGAAATAACTCTCATAGGAAATAGCACAAAAAACAATCCTTACTTCAAAAACTGCAAGAAAGTTGTTGTTTAGTGGGGAGAGGCATATCTAAGGTAAATTAAGAGGCAAGGAGAAAGTATTCTAGAATGAAGAGAAAGGTAAGGTTCACTGAGTTTACATTAAATTGTTTTCCCTGAAGAAGGACATGGGGACAGGATAAGCAGGAGGAGAGAGGCCATTCTCTGTAATCATGGATCTAAACATCACCATCAAGAGTGGATGCACATGCAAACACAGGCGCCAGGGGAAGTTGTTTCTGAATGAGTGTAAGGGGTGATTGCATGGAACAACGCGTTGGAGATAGCTGGATGCAAACTCTAAGTAGATGTCAGTTGGAAAAACACTTCTAAGCTTAAACAGTTAAAATCAACGGCTGGTTTCAGAATTTAGATAACATTCTCTGTTGGCAATATAGTCATTAATTATAGTCATGTCATCATGCAGTTTGTGAACGACGTTGAGTGTGTTAGTGTTGAGAGCACACAAAGACTCAGCAGACCATCATATCTCCTTAAAAAAATAAAAAACCAGCCAAGTGAGCCGCAAAGACATCATATTTTTAAAACCCATCAGAGAACTGAGGATGCAGAGAAAGCTAGCTAAGTTGAATTCCAGAAAATGGCTAGACATTTCTGGGAGGCAAAATGCTTTCAAACCTGGTAAAGCAGCAGGTTGACACAGATTGTGCTATCCAAAGACGTATGGAGAAATCAGCCACATTTTTATCAACTCTTTAATTATGCCTGGATTGGGTCAATGGCTAGAAATGCAAGGAGTTCAAGCCATAGCTGCTCCTTACTGCACTCACCCATGCTCTGCTTCCCATGGACTTCCCACCGTGTGCAGAAGGTGGTGCAGAGCAGAAGACCTGAGAGAGGTGGCCTGGGTGCCAGGGTTCTTTCTGATTGCAAGGTGTCAATCAGTGAGGGATTATTGAAGGCAAAACAGGGAAAAATGAGAGTCTGTGGAACTCACGAGGTATCCCCAACATGCAAGATCACAGTTTTTCAAGGGCATCAGGAGAAAGAGAGCTGAGAAAATCTCTCCCAGGTGCCATGGCCAACCTTCAAAGCCTACTTTCCACAGAGTAAAGGGGGAGCCAAGCTTTTATCCTTAACCTGAAAGCTAATTAATTGCATGCTGTTTTGTTTGCAGAAATAGGGAATGTTCTTGATTTATGTATTTATTACATTGAGATAGAATTATGTGCTTCCTCTTTTCCGATGATGGTAGACCGATAATCATGGCTATCCTGGTCGCCTAATACATAATAATTTTGTTGTGTGTTTTATATGTACTGTATAAAGTAATGCATTGCTGATTCTCTACATAAAATTAGACATATAGTCTACGTTTCCTAATTGCATAATTAAGGTCTTTATTCTTGTTTTTATCTGGCCCATTGATCTATCAGTTTTTAAAAGTGATGTGTAGAAACTTCCAAGTGCAGTTGTTGTTGTGGGTTCTGTGCTCTGGTATAAAAGCTAGACAAGCACAGATAATTTCCCTTTCACTGACCGAAGGCTTCAAAGCACCCAGAAGAGGGTCTCACACAAACTAAGACTTTAATAAATGCTTGTAATTAAACGAATACAATTTTACATGGTGCATTTTAATTCAGGCATTCCGAAGTACATACATTTTCATGATTATTATATATTTTGATGAATTGTTCTTTTAATACATAGTACAACTCAAGATAAATCCATCATATCTTAGAAATATATCTTTGCTATGAATTTTTATTAATAGTATATAACATTATCTTATATGTTTTTTGATATCAATCTATACACAATTGGGCATATAATTAATTACTGGGTTATAGTCTACCTTTAGTAAATACTTCCAAATAGCTTCCAAAATGTTTGTGTCGATAAACACTCCTACTAGCTATTTATGGCAAAGTTGTTTTGTTTTAAATTATTGTCATCATTAGTCTCAATCTTTATTTTTAATATTTGTTTCATTATTCATTGCACATTAGAATTTTAGTGCAGTTTAAATTCAGGTTTCTGTGACAATTTATGATGTGAAAGATACCTGAATCTGAGATAAGTATTAGCTATTCCTAGAAAGGATCACGTCTCTTCTATCCTTGAATAAGGGTATTATATGAATCTAGTCAAAGCTTCAGTTGAGTTCAGGTTTTATTATTATGGTGGACCACTAGTTTCAAAATTGTCTAGGCTAAACTGATGCTGAGGGTACATGTTAATATGTGGGAGAGTTTTTTCCAATCTTCCTCACCCACCATCAGCTATGTGTTTTATTGTGCTCCTGGAGCCTAAAGAGGGTCTCTCTTTAGGATTTTACCTGCCCATATCCCAATTGTAGGTGGCATATACTTATCGAGTGATGGGGGACAGCTAAGATAATCTTTAGTATTACACATGCCTTTGGCTCTGTATCTCTCTTATGGGGTTTTCTTAGACATACTACCTACCTCAGTGTTCAGAAACTTTTCTGCATTAAGTATTTACTTGTTTGTTGGGGGCAAAATGGTTTGTTACCAAATCCTTAGTGAGTGAAAACTTTTGTTCTGAAAGGGAGAGAGTTTGGGTAGCGCTGTTAAAAATTTTAGCAGATTCTTCTTATACTTCTGTAGGTGTAAAGAGAAGCATATCTAAAATCTTGTTGCAAATACCTATGTTCCTTACTCTTCAAATGAAGTGTTTTTCCTGCAGTGTTAGCTCTCTGGCAGGTTTAAGTTATAACTTTATAGATTAACTTACTTTTTCTTATGATTGGGGTGATACTGACTCTGTCTAGCTTTCTATATTATATATTACATAATGGTGTTCCAACTGTTCTATGTTATAACTGGAAGCAGGAAGTCTACTTGGCCTCCCAAAGTGCTGGGATTACAGGTGTGAGCCATTGAACCCGGCCACGTTTTTAGTTTTAACATCTATACAATATACCAACATATTTCTTATATCATGCTTTTCTGTTTTGCCTTAAAAATCTTTTCTTTCCTGAAGTTCATAAAAATATTCTCCTCCCTGTTATCTCTTAAAAGCCCTTATATATTTGACCTTAACATTTAAGTAATAAATCCACCTGATGTAATTTTTAATAGTGTGATATAGAGATAAAATTTTGTTTTTTAAATATGAGTAGACCAACTTTGTAGCACGAGTTATTAAACAGTTTGTCCTCATTTCACTATCTGCAAGGCCCTATAGCTGCATGGATCTCTTCCTGGCCTTGCTATTCTGCTCCATTTGTCATGTTGTCAATTCCTACAATAATCTTACAGTTATTTGTGTGAGTCTTGATAGATGACAATATGTGTTCTTCTCATAGTCTTCTTCATTAGCATTTTGTTTATGTTTAGGCTATTGCATTTCCATATAAATATTAGAATCTGATAGAAAAGAAAAACCATTTGTTGTTTTGATTTTGAAATAAAATGCATATGTATACAATGTATATGTAGTCTCCTTTTCTGAAAATTTGCGTTGAATGTATTTATGTGTGTAATCACATAACCTATGATTACTAAGTTTTTATTTCTTCCTAATTCTGAACTTTATTTTCTTTTTCAGCAATTTTGCAGTTATCTATCGTAACAGCTGCTTTTCTTAGCTGCTAGAAGACCTAATGCTTACTGGATCCATATGTTTTAGAGGTAAGATATTTAGATGAATATCTGGTTCTAACTCACATACTAAGTAACAGGGAATTAGAGAATGTTTAGTTGCCATCATGGTTGCTGTTAACCCTATTGTTCCAGTGCATCCAAACGAGGCTTCATGTTTCCTTGTTGAATCAGGACACTGGTTGGAGTCTATGGAAATCTCCAATCCAAGAAGTATCTAGCTGATGTTTAGTTTATGGAACATACTAGACTAAGAACCATTATTCTTATGAAAAGTAGTCTTAGCTTCCCAGGGTTTTGAAGCAGGACACCTTAAACAAATGGAAATGGTATAAATGAGAAAGGATTCGCTATATGTCTGAAAGCTACTAATATTTTTTACATGTCTACAGGCTCGTGGAAAGATTATATTAAGCAGATACCTCTAGAAATCAAATCTAAAACCTATTTTTTTTTTTTTTTTGAGACGGAGTTTCGCTCTTGTTACCCGGGCTGGAGTGCAATGGCGCGATCTCGGCTCACCGCAACCTCCGCCTCCTGGGTTCAGGCAATTCTCCTGCCTCAGCCTCCTGAGTAGCTGGGATTACAGGCACGCGCCACCATGTTCAGCTAATTTTTTTGTATTTTTAGTAGAGACGGGGTTTCACCATGTTGACCAGGATGGTCTCGACCTCTTGACTTCGTGATCCACCCGCCTTGGCTTCCCAAAGTGCTGGGATTACAGGCGTGAGCCACCACGCCCAGCTCTAAAACCTATTTATAGTTTGTTTTTGCTCATTTATTGGCTTCATCTAGAAGTAGAAGGCTAAACTATTTTATTCACACAACCTAAAATGGAACTGCAAGCTAGTAGAGAAAATGAATCCCTCATGTGGACAGGACTTTGTGCAGTATACCTGCAGGTACCTTTTTCTTAAAGGAAGAAGTACCTGAGTTACAAATCTGCAATGATTTATGAACAATGGATAACCACATGGCAATAAGATAAAGACAATTAAAAAAAAAGTGTTAGTAGCTTCCTCAAAAAGGGTTTTGGGAAGAATGGTGTACATATACACATTTCAGAATAAGCATTACATGAGACCATATTTGTTTTCTTTATTTTTATTTTTTTTTTATACTTTAAGTTCTGTGGTACATGTGCAGAACTTGGAGAATTGTTGCATAGGTACACACATGCCATGATGGTTTGCTGCCTCCATCCCCCTATCAACCTATATCTGGCATTTCTCCCCGTTATCCCTCCCCAGCTCCCTACCCCACCACTGTCCCTCCCCTATTCCCCCTCACAGACCTCAGTGTGTGATGCTCCCCTCCCTATGTCCATGTGTTCTCATCGTTCAACACCCGCCTTTTAAGAAGTGTCTACCCATACCCTTTGCCCACTTTTTGATGGGGTTGTTTTTTCTTGTAATTTTTAAAAAATTCCTTGTAGATTCTGGATATTAGAGTTCATCAGATGGATATATTGGAAAAAGTTTCTCCCATTTTGTAGATTATCTGTTCACTTTAATGACAGTTCTTGTTGTTGTTGTGCAGAAACCATTCAGTTTAATTATATCGCATTTGCCCATTTTTGCTTTTGTTGCAATTTCTTTTGATGGTTTTCTCATGAAATCTTTGCCTGTGCCTATGTACTTAAAGGTATTGCCTAGTTTTTCTTCAGTGGGTTTTACAGTTTTGGGTTTACATTGAAATATTTACTCCAGAGTGCATTAATTTTTATATAAGGTGTAAGGAAGGGATCCAATTTCAGTTTTCTGCATATGGCTAGCCAGTTCTCCCAGCACCATCTATTAAATAGAAAATTATTTCCCCATTGCTTATTTTGTTAGGCTTGTTGAAAATAACATGGTTGTCAATGTGTTGCCTTAGTTCTGATATCTTTATTCTGTTCTATTGGTCTATGTGTCTGCTTTTGTACCAGCCCATGTTGCTTTGGTTACTATAGCCTCATATTATAGTCTGAAGTCAGGTAGTGTGATGCCTCCAGCTTTGTTCTTTTTGCTTAGGATTGTCTTGGTAATATAGGCTCTTTTTCGCTTCCATATGAATGTTAACATAGTTTTGTTCTAATTCTGTGAAGAATGTCGATGATAACTTGATGGGATTAACAATGAATCTATAAATTACTTAGGCAATATGGCCATTTTCACAATTTTGATTCTTCCTATCCATGAGCATGGATTTTCCCATTTGTTTGTGTCCTCTCTAGTTTTCTTGAGTAATGGTTTATAGTTCTTCTTAAAGAGGACCTTCACTTCCCTTAGTTGTATTTTTAGGAATAGCTGTACTCTTAATATTTTATTCTCTTTGTAGCAATTGTGAATGGGAGTCCATTCATGATTTGGCTCTCTGCTTCTCTATTTTTGTTATGCAGAAATGCTTGTAATGTTTGCACATCGAATATGTATTCTGAGACAGTTAAAGTTGCTCATCAGCTTAAGAAGCTTTTGTTCTGAGACAATGGGGTTTTCTAGTTATAGGATCATGTCATCTGCAAACAGAGACAGTTTGACTTTCTCGATTCCTATTTGAATACCCTTTATTTATTTCTGTTGCCTGATTGCCCTGGCCAGAGCTTCCAATACTATGTTAAATAGGACTTATGAGAGAGGGCATCCTTTTCTTCTGCCGGTTTTCATCGGGAATGGTTCCAGCTTTTGTTCATTTAGTATGAAATTGGCTGTGGGTTTGTCCTAAGTGGCTCATTATCTGGAGGTATGTTTCATCAATGCCTAATTTCTTGAGATTTGTTTAACATGAAGTGATGTTGAATCTTATCGAAGGCATTTTGTGCACTGATTGAGATAATCACGTGGGTTTTGTGTTTGGTTTTGCTTATGTGATGAATTACATTTATAGATTTGTTTATATTAATGCAGACTTGCATCCCAGGGATGTAGCCAACTTGATCATTGTGAATAAGCTTTTTAATGTGCTGCCTATGGTGGCGTGGGCTCATGGGGGGGGTCTCCTGATTCAGTGTTGCACAGATCCACAGATAAAGCACACCACTCCCTGCCTCCCCTGCATGGGCATGGCATCTAAGCACTATAATTGTGGATATATTGAATGCCTCATTCACTTTTATGATATCACACAACATTATTTTTGAATAAACAATTTACTTTATAATAACAACATTAATTATGGAGTGGCTTATGTCTAAGGATGTGTTTTACCATAGTTTTCTCAGCCAGAAAACTGTTTCATGTAAAGTTAGAGTGACTTTGTGAAGTCTTAGTAACACCTCTCTACAAGCAGTGAGTATATTGTACTATATTATGCCATTCATGCAGGTATCAGTTTGTATGGACTGTAGTGATCAATTATTCTGGGTTAGAAGATGTTTTCTCTAGGCAATATTTGCTTCTATTTTTCCCATGGCCACACATATTTTCTGGTGTTCAAAATATTAAGTGGAATTTCATAATGATCCACCAACCAATTTTTGTTTTCCATTTCTACAAGTTTTTGTTCTCCTTGTGCAGAGGTTAAATTCACTCAGAGAACTTAAACCCGGTTCTATGAAGTCATCATTTTATTTTAGATCCCTAAGTCATTGAACCAAAAAGGAAAGAAAATTTTGACTGTACTTTGTGGGACGCTTAATTCTCATTATCAAGAAGTCAGCTTTAGGGTTCTCCAGAGAAACAGAACTAATTCCATGACCGTCCCTATCTGTGGATTCTGCCTGAGTGGATTCAACTAAAAACATAAATTTTTAAAATTATGTCTGTGCTGCACATACAGTTTTTGTCATTATTCCCTAAACAATACAGTATAACAACTATTCACCTAAAATTTGCATTGTACTAGGTAGTATAAGGAATCCAGAGATGATTTAAAGTGCATATCAGGATGGGCATATGTTGTCTGCAAAGAATACACCATTTTATATTAAAGACTTGAGCATCTGTGGATTTTGGTATCTGTGGGAGGTCCTGAAATTCATTCCCATTAATATCAAGGAACAACTGTATTTATATGAGAAGGCTTATTATAGACTCACACCTCCTATGGATGCAAAAGCCAAGAATCCCACAATCCGCCATCTGCAAGCTGGAGAACCATGAAAGCCAGAGGTGTACTTCAGAGTCCAAACGAAAATCAGAGGAGCCATGATCTAAGTCTGGTCTGAGTCCATATGCTTGAGAACCAGAGTGTTGGCATCTGAGAGAAGAGGAAGAAAGATGTCCCAAATCAAGCAGAGAGAGAAAAATTACCTTTATTCAGCTTTGTTATATTCAGATCATAAATGAATTAAATCATGCCTGCCCACATTGGTGAAGGCAGATATTCTTTTTTTTTTGAGACGTAGTTTCGCTCTTGTTACCCAGGCTGGAGTGCAATGGCGCAATCTCGGCTCACCGCAACCTCCGCCTCCTGGGTTCAGGCAATTCTCCTGCCTCAGCCTCCTGAGTAGCTGGGATTACAGGCACGCGCCACCATGCCCAGCTAATTTTTTTGTATTTTTAGCAGAGATGGGGTTTCACCATGTTGACCAGGATGGTCTCGATCTTGACCTCGTGATCCACCGGCCTCGGCCTCCCAGAGTGCTGGGATTACAGGCTTGAGCCACTGCTCCCGGCCAAGGCAGATATTCTTTATTCAGCCTACCACTTCAAATGTAAATCTCTTCTAGAAACTCTCTCACAGACACATTCAGATATGTTTTGCGAGCTACCTGGACATCTCTTAGCCAAAGCAGTGGGACAAAATTAACCACCATAAGTAGGTAGAGAGGAGTGTGTTTGGAGTACATGGGATTCTCAGGTGAATTGTTCAATTATTTTAGAACTTATAGTCAGAGAAAAAGGAGACACACTGATAGCTCAGAGTAATAGGTAATAAAATTTCAGGTGCTGCAATGCCATCTAAGGGAAAAGGCAACACAGAATGTGGAATAAGAGTATTATAATACAAATATCAATAAAAGCCTTGTGAACTGAAATGACTTTGGTAACTGAGTATATTCTCCCTTTCTTTCAAATGCATCTATATTTATAGCTATAGCTATATTCCCCTATGACTTTCCCGTAATGCAGTGCCTTTGAATATTTTCTTTTTTG